TGTGCCTGTTTTGGTTACTGTCTTTTGGCCGCCCACTGGGATCAACAGTAGGGGAAAGGGTGTACAGTGGAATCTAAAATGGAGACTTTCAGTGGACGCAGATTGCAGGGAAATGGAGAAGATACACGAACGCCAATGTTTACTACACTCAGCCGTATCACTGACTGTCTCTAACCTTCGGTTACGATCATTCCGAGGTCCCCAGCCGGGGGGCCTCTGTGACCCATTCTTCTGGTTAGGGCTTTCATAGCTTCGTGCCAGATCTTGACCACCTTTGACTTATTTCCCCCCACTGCCTGCCTCGGTAAACATTGCTCGCCATGGTAACCTATTTGCTAACATACCTAATACATGCCCTAACTAGATTAATCAATGGAGGTCGACCACTTAATCTAGTGTGCGACCGCGACTACCTAAAACTCTATACCTAATTAACAATAGTTGGTTGGTATTCTCGTGATTTCCTATCCATAGCTCATCGCCAGCCTGATAGTCTGTTTGTCTCTTTTGTATTTGCAACAGTAAATCCTTTAATTCACTCGCGGATGCCGTGGGAATCCAATAACCACTTCTTTGTGTGTGCGAACTATTCACAAGTGTGCGTATTGCCTCAATTTGTTCGAGTCCTTTCTAGTACATGTGTTTTGCCTAGTCTTCCTATGATTACAAATGCATGAAAACCTAAAAATCGTGCTAGTTATAATGTCGGTTTTTCCGTCGAGTTTGTTGGTAAAATCAGATTCCTAGAGGGGGATGCATAGGACCTGACTCTTTATGAATACAAAAAAGCAAAACAATCAGTTTTTGGTAGTTCGATTTAAACCCACAACCTCTTCGTCAATGTGGTGATGATCTTTACAGGTTTATCTCTGCTAGAAAAAGGATTTGGTAGATTATGACCACTCAGATATTTCGTCCGTAGAGGTGTGAGTTCATTAGTCGCGTTTATTTGATCGGTTTGTGGTAAAAGAGGGTGGTATAGTGGTTAACGTATTCATACCAGCGAAGGGAGTGTGTTTAAGTACTGCGAAAACAGCCCGGTTTACCCGTTGATGTTTGTTTTCGGTCCGTATACGACTAATTGGGGTCCTTTCTAAAATATTGATCCTACTCTACAAAAAAGGAATACACATTAGAAAGGATGTTCCCAATTATGGACGGCTCCTTTCAAAGGAATCCCGGGCCTGTGACTCAAAGAATTTAAATCACACTTACTACATAGTTTCTCTTGTTCATTTCGGACTGTTTGTTTTATGGAGAGAGACCAAAACTTCAACGTTCCAGTTCTTGGCCGTTAATTGTACGTTTGAAACGTTCTCGCCTCACATCCATTTTACTTTTATCAAACGGTATTCTTCTCAAAATTTGCTGGCCAGATCTGCTTTCATTCATGGAATCTATGAGCTGACACTTAATAAGTCCCAATGCTATTCTTTAGGTTAGTATGTCATTTGTAAATTGAAATATCGCCATCCTCCTGCTCGTGATCCTCATCACTCCTGTATTTCTCACTTGCCTCTTTCACAGACGAGCAAGCAAGTGCTATCGAATTCCGAGATGCCGCGTTCTCGTGGACTGATAACGGTCCTTTGGTACTGTCCAAGTGAGTGATGAGTGTGACGACCGATGCACTATACCAAGATGAATAGTTCGGTGAAAACCCAATGACTACTTGGATTTCAGTTAATTTCAAGCACTCCTTGATTGACCTCCCACTCCGCAGCTGTTGTAAATTGATGCATTCCTTTTCCGTGTTGAAAATTTGTTACAACTATTAGCAACGAGTATGGGACAAAGCAACCACGGAGTCCGCCTGAATGTTCACAATGATTACAGTTATCCACATTCAGTAGCATGCAACAAAAATGCGGTGAAGCGGTTATGCATTTACTCATCATATCATATGAATGTTGGATGCAAATCGATAAAAAGGTACTCGGTATCCCCTTAATCCTGCAATTCACTAGGATCTAGTGGTCGGGGTAGCGATCATATACTGTAGGTTGATGTTGCAAGGTTTTGAATGTCGAATTTAACTACCCTACTTACTAGTTCTCTCCGTCAGAACAAGGTCAATGGATAACCATTTCTTTGTTGCGTGCTGACAATCCACTGCCATATGGATAGATGCATTTCGTTTACGTATTTTATCGAAACTTGGATTACACGCGACAAAGACCCAGTTATTTGCGACCAACCAAAGTCTCATTCGTGTATTTTATTCACGCCTTGTTTCGTTCATGTGTACTGAGTGTGCTACCTTTATTGAATTCACATGCTTTTCTAAATCATTGTACAACTCGGACATCAAGAATGAAGGTGTTGCATATGAAGTTCAAGGTTATACGTTCCAACTGACAAGTATGTGCTAGTAATAATAAGATGACAGTTGTGAAACATTATTCAGACGTTCACTGCCTTGGGTTCTTGTTTGCACTGGTATCGTTGACCCCAAAAACGAGTTTGGGGCACGCGGGTAGGTGGAAAGCACTAGTTTGGGTTGTACCACTGCCGTCTCCAAGACGGAAATGTACTTTCCACCTCGAATAAAGTTCAAGTTGAATTCTTTTGTCCACCTAAACGGGTTAATTATCAGTGGTACATCATGAAATTTGGTGAGGTCGTTTCCCTTAGAAACATATTTCCTCACCAGCCTCGTGACTAATTATATCAACTAAAGCATTTTTAGAAAGTAGGTCTTTCCGACTGTTCTATTTCACACCCAATTAAAGTACATGATGTGCAGTTGGCATCCTTCCGTGTGTTTTCAATATCCCCTTACCTTTGGCAGTCACCCAGTTGAAGTCGGATAAACTTGTGATTGGATCGATTGTATCTTGCATTTATAATTCAAAACCCTTATTTTCGCGGTGAACTGATGTGTTGCGTATATTTTTTAAAATCTTCTTTGCCGGCACCTAATGCTACAAATCTGCGTGTTACCGTAGAACACACCACGGAACACTTGTGATACAGACTTATCCATGTTGCATGAGGAAAAGACGTATGTTGCACATGTTTCAAAAATCATCGGTTTTGAGCGATAAGTAGACAGGAAGTTGTAGTAAAACAAAATAGAAGTATGCGGGGCTACAAAAGTTGATGAGGGTATTTGATCAATGTAACCTCACTCATAGATAATGCAGATTAAGCTTTGAAGAAATTGTTGTAGGATAGTACGGAATCATTCGGAAATACCTTTGAACCTAGTAAACACTCGTTTCCAAACCATCACTTGTTTATTCACCAAAAGATGTCCAGTATGCCATGGAGCTAATGATATTCCTATCGCCCTCTTTGTTATTATCGCACAGCCGCGTGCGGCAAGCTGATCATCGACATAAGGTTTCCAAATGGATGGGCTGATATGAAACCACACGACGAATTTATAAGGCTTCATAAACTTGAGTAAATGTTTTCATTATTTTGGGTCGGTAGGTTCTTCACAAACGAGGAATCGCCCAAGATCAATCTTCTATTTAGCGATAGCATTTTTCCCAACCAAGAAAATTTAATGTCAGCTGTTCTTCAAAAAATCACTATCTTACTCAGTTGCACCCATTATATAGCAATATTGTATTCTTTGTCTCTTGTCTGCAACCTCGGTCCCAAACGTCAATCAGCTTGGACTTTTCTATTCGACGGGGTTGGTTGGTTGCGGTTGTGGGTACCGTGGGCTCCGGAAAGTCTTCTCTGTTGTCTGCGTGCCTCGGAGATCTTACTCGGAGGAGTGGAACTGCCAAGTTAAAAGTAAGTTCCCTAATCATATCAGAAGACATGAATAATGTTCAATCTCTCATTTTTATTCGATATTAGGGCATTGCTGCCGTTTTATCTTGATGGTTTGCTCCGGTTTCCTAGCGTATGGACGATACTTGCTCTCCGTTGGGCATTAATCGGTGCAAACAAACATGATTCGAAATTGTATGTAATGTGTTTTGATGAATGAACGAATTAAGCTGGCAACAGAAAACTACTAATTGTTTGTCGTAAAAGTATTTGACTTATTTACATAATCTTCAATCTGGCCATTGGTATTATCCTATTAGCACGTATTTCGATCCCTGGAATCGGATTGATTGATTCATTTAAATCAAATTCATAGGTAACGTCATTTATTCCAAACATTCCCGTAGGTTCGCATTGTAGTCATGCGGTTAGGCAGGCACGAACCGACAGAACTTCCTCACTGTTGTGCGCTGTAGTATTACTTTGAGGTCCATCACAGTTGAAGGTTTATCTTTGAGACTTCCTTCTAGGATCTACAGAGAGCAGTCTGACCTATAAGTCAGTGAGAAGTTGCTTCATCATCCACTTGATGCCATTGTCCTGGCAATCGGATTATACGTATTAGGGGTGGAGCTGTCCTGTCCGGGTCATCCACGAAACTCCATCCCAAGTCATGCTGGTAGCTGAATATTTAATTAGGGGATGTGTCAACGAACATGAAGAGCAAGATAAGAGAGCATTTCCTGAAACACCCAGTGTCAAACATACATGGGTTTGGAGCGGATGAACGGAATGCAATCCCTGTTCGATTGATGCTTGATAAACGTTTTTCATTTAGAGTCACGTTAATTTTCCGTGTGAGTCGCTAGCACTTGCTGAATATAGGTCGGTACTAATTTCTCTATTGTTTTAGTTACAGAGAAGTGGAGAAAAATATTGTGCTTAATTTACATGTGTGAAAATCTGTCCTGTTAATTGGCAAGGAACTAGAAGATTATACTGCAAAAAGTAATATATTTGTTCCACTTTATTACGAACACTTATCATCTAACATCATTATGTTCAGGGAACCACAGCCTACGTGCCTCAAACAGCCTGGATACAACAGCAAACTTTGCGCGATAACATTTGTTTTGGCGAATCCCTCGGATCTTCTCCGTCCAGTAGAGACGCGCTGACTGGAAAGCGTGAGTGGTATGACACAGTGATCAAGGCGTGTGCACTTCAAACTGACTTGGATCGGTTGTCGGCTGGCGATAAGACTGAGATTGGTGAGCGTGGGGTCAATCTATCAGGAGGTCAACGGCAACGTGTTAGTCTGGCTCGTGCAGTGTTTCAGGTGATTAACATGACAGAATTGTTCATATGATGTTTTTAGTTGTAACTAACTGAAACAAACGTACAATAGACAAAATATAACACCCATTATGAACTGATTCATATTCGTTCAATCTGCACGTGTTCAAAAAATGGCCATACTTTGTTAACAGTTCAAAGGTACAAAAAGTCATTTTCGAAGTAAATTGATTTTTATTTTTTTGTGTGATGAACAGCAGACGGGGAAAGCCCCATAGTCAGGACGACCTGCTGTTCAATGATGGAAACCGGTAACCTAATCCCCGGTTGTTGGAGTGGCGAACCACATAAGGCTCTGATAGGTTAAATGTGGTATTGCACCGGACGACGGTAAAGCTGCCTACCAAAGTTGGTTGGTGATGGCGGGACTCAAACTTCAGATCATAGGGTCCAAAGCACCCCGGTGACAGCGACTAAACCACTGCGCCACTACCGCTTTCTGGCCTCATATGTATTTGTCTTTATCAATAATGCCACCTTTCTGTGAGAAATAAAACGATTTCGGATGTTTTTATGTTATCGGGAGGAAAAGGATACGGATTTCGCAATCCTTGTTTTGGTATTTAGGTTCACAAAAGGTGACAAACTGAGGATATATGTATATATATATTGATTAATTGATTGCCTTGTGACAAAACTCATGGAATACACGAATGTAAATAGATGTCGATTGATCCTATACCGTGATACTTCGTAATCTGTTTGCTTTAGTACCCTAGCTCATGTCACTAAGTTCACTCAAGTACTCAAAAGCTTCGATATTCCCAAAATGGTACCTAGAAAATGAGTCCGTGGGCGAACAGTATGTTTTTCGATTAATCCCTTACATATCATATGATGGAAAAAATGCGTACGCAATGATAGCCATCGACACAATTAAGGTCATCAACCGAATGCAGAGAATAGAGGATGTGTGTGTGCGTATGTGTAAGAACGATTTGCATGTTAGTTGATGTGACCTTTCCCTACGTTGCTCAAGTGACACGTAATGTTCTGTTTTGGTTTTTGTATCAGGCCAAGGTAATTGAAGCTCTTAATCCCGTCATTTTGGGGCGCACAGGTTGGGGCCTAGTAAGCGAATGACGATCGCCTGACAATGACTTTTGTCCAAACTCTGGGCGCCCTCGATCGATTGAGTAAGATGCGATAAATAACATCAAAAGCATCCTCTGATTCAATCTTGTGCCCGGTGTCGATGAGATGACCCACGATCGCGCTTAAGATACAGTCGGGTTTTCCCTGACTTAACCATCGCCGGTGGTGCTCCTCAGCGCGTTGAGACGAACGACTTACCTGCACTGCTTGGCGGATGAAGCTTAGTTCTTAGTCTAGTGTGTCTGCCGAACAAATCTCCTTGGCTGTGAAGGCTAGACACCGGACTGGATAACGTTTGTATGTCAAAGGAACGAAACTATAGAAGTTGGTATTTTGACCATTCCATGTTTTCTTTCTGTGGATCTGTCATCTCTCTCTTTCTGATCCATCTTCTTTCCTGGACATGGCTACATCCAGAAAGGCCAATATGATGTTCACACCAACCTCTAAGGTGAATTCGAGTGATGGATGTGCCTCGTTAAACTACTCCAGTGTCTGTAGGATGTCATTTTCGCGGTCAGTCACACAGAAGATATCATTCATATACCTACTGTATTGTGCTATTCCCTCAATGGTTAAGCTCAGCATGATCCTTTCTGGTTTAGCCACGAAGATGTCAGGTAGCAATGGACCCAATGGGGATCCCAAGGCAACCTCGTCCATTCATGCGAGGTGAGCATATTACTGATATCTTATTGGCCGATTACGGCTGAGTTTTTAACAGTGCCAAAGGCTTTGCAAAGCGGGGGTAGCCCTGATAAACACCATTTTCCGTGGTAGACTGGGCCCCGGATTCGGCTTTGGTGATAAAGGGATTGTACTATTGAAATAAACCTCTTGAGGGAAAATGGTCAACTGAGTCGTAGTCCACTTTCAGATCGAACGAGACAAGGATTTTTAGTCTACGAAAACAATGCTGGTGCTTCAGGATTTTCAGAAGATTGAAAATATGGTTTACACAACCTGAATCAGGTCTAATACCATACTGATCCTCACATGCGGCAGATACTTGACGGAGTATGATCCCAGCCAGAAGTTTAGAAGCAATGTTGATTGTTTTCCCAGTTGGATCTCTCGCCTCTCTTGTAAATCGGTAAGATGGCTGATTGAAACCATTCAGTTCGAACCTGTTCCCTCTCCCGTATTGAGTCCAGGAGTTTCGTTAACTCCAAGATTAACGCTGAACCTTCATCCTTGCACGCCGATGGGAACAGCCCATCTGGGTCTTATACCTTTTGAGATAACTTATTTCCCGGAATATCTTTATTTCAGACGGAGGATTGGCATCAACTGGGAGTATTTGCCCAGTCGACTTTGGGGGTCGTAGGACAGATGTCGATGGGGCCTATTTGAACTGTGCCTCGAAATGTTTAGCCCATCGATCAAGACGGCGATGCTGTCAATGAATCAGTTTGTCATTGGATCCCTGATTATCTCACGCCTATTCTCCTGAAACCCGTATTCTTAATTAGACGGAAAAGTGTGCGACCATTACCAATAGCCGCAGGTTTCTTCATTTCTGCACAATTTCCGCTTCTTCAGACTCTTGATGACCTTGCGTTTAAGAAATTTACGTGCTGTGTGACATCAGAAAGAACAGTTCTGCGGGCGTCTGGTAGGGCAGCCACAGTTGATGAGATCCATTGTTTGTGTTTTGAGGCTGCACCTGAGTTCGCCGGTGTTTTTCTCGATATCTGCATAGCTTCTTTCATTTGCTTCCAGTGTTCATTCAATATTTCCACTGGTGGTTGAACTAATAGACGACTATAGAGCGCCCCAGCAAAGGCCGATATGCAACTGTCGCTGACATTTTGTCGTGGGTACCCGTTGGTGATGGCTTTATTGTGGTTGTTTGCCTGGGGTAACGAGAATTTGGTTCACAGCAAAGAGTGTAAGGTGGTGTCGTTTGTTGTGCGAGAATGTGGTGCTTGACAGAAACAGTCCATGGTCCGGCAGAGTTCAGATAATCGATTTTCTTTGTCCGTCCGTTTGGTTGTGATTGCATATGGACCACGAAGAATCCTTTCTAATTCGTTCAGGTATCTCGCTTGATCACTGAAGTCTCCGATGACTACTACAACGTCCGTTAATCGAACGCTGGAGCAATGGAGAAAGATTCTTGTAGAATTCATCTTTGATTTCAGGTGTACTGCAATCGGTCGATGCATACATCTATACAACGAATAGATATCGATACTTCGTTCCTTAGCTGTTGACCCGTACTGAACCTTTGAGACGTACAGCACATAGTTTACTATTTACTGGATCCAGTCAAGAAGCAAGCTCTCAGCCTTGGCACTTAGCGTAATGCCAACAGCAGCATCGCTAGTGTCGGATACCGAATCATCTGACACACGGAGGCTGAAGTGTNGTGAGGATAAGGTTGGTTGGGGAGAACGCAGGGAGATGATTTAAGTAGGGTCTTGTATGCATGTTTCGGAGATACGATATACTTTTAGCTTAGGTGTTTCGTAGATTCGATCTTTGGTGGCTAACCGTTCTGATAAAGTGGGCAGATATAGAACGCGGCTAAGTGAAAAGGCAATTTAAGCTTCAAAATCCCAGAAGTTCAGATTGGTTGACCGTACTAGTAAGACTCCGAGTGATATCCAATTGATGGCGTAAACAGGATGCATCTGGGGTGATTCGGGATTGAGAGGAAGAACTAGACAGATGAACAAGAGATATTTTCAAGTGTGTGCCTAGGACTTGATTGCACCACATTCTTCACGGTAAAACACACCGGTGAAGGGTTTTTCGGGAACCCCAACCGGATCCTTTGGCTCAAAAGTTTAACCCACAAGATAGTGGGGCGTGGATTCAACGCGGGAGTGTAACCGAAGCACCCATATGAGAACTTCTAGAGGATTATCACACAAAGCCTTCGGGTTTCGGCACAGTGTGTTCTTCGTTGGTTCGCTGTTCCGGGATAACCCTCAGTTTTATGGACCCGATGAAATAAGCGGAACGTGGGCCGGGCAACACCTTATTGGCTGGCGGATGCTCAGATTGGGTGGGTGGTAGCTGTTCAATGAAGTGCGACAACTTATCCCGCCGTCGAAAGAAAGCCCCAGGTACCCCATTACTACTTCCATCTAGCTGGGTTTTTATCGGTAAACTTTCCTTCGTTTCGTTTATTTGCTGGAGTGACCTCTTCAGAGTGGAGCTTGGATAGACGAAGGAAGCCAGGAGGTGCCCAAGCATCTGGCTTTGTGAAACAGCTTTGTCTGACTCCACTCATTGACCTTTCATACGTGATTGGATCTGCAGCTGTGGAAACCCATCCTATGTAGCTGACTGAGTGATGAAAGCACGCAAACCACCATGGTCAAATCCTCTGCTTCCCAACATCTCTAAATATTTGAAAATTTCTTAACTGAACCTGCACATACCACTATACGGAACAAATCTTCTTAACTCAATCACCTATTTCCAAAACCATCACGATGAAAATCCTGTGTTGTACCTCGCCTTGCAAAGTTTCCTGTTACAAAAAACGCAAAAGCCATATGAGTTAACCTTTCGTCTTTTTTTCTCTGTCTTTTCTCACTTTACTGTGTGGTTCACGTTAAATGTACTTTTTCTAGTGAGATAATTTATGTTTGACTTGTTTTCATGTATACAGTGCCGTATTTAGTTCGATGATGACGCTAGTTTTTTCTCACAAGGTCTTTCAAAAACGATAGTTTGGATAAACACTTGTCAGTAGCTATCTCCTCTGTCTGTTTATTTGTTGTTCATCTCATCCTTGTAAGGTTTCATTTGGTTACATACTTCAACTGTTAGGGAAAAGAGATTACTAGCTGCCAGAGCTAAACAGTATGTCCTCGCGACTACCGGGTCTACTACTCAGCAAACTGTATTGTTTAAGGAAGAAGTAATAGTAACTTTATATTGCTCAGTAGTTGACCCATCGGACCCATCGTCGGTTTTTAGGTACCGCTATTAGATTGTAATGGTTGGATGCTGTCTCCACTAATGAAATTCAGTGCAACTGTATAAGCATTTCTGTTACTTATCTGAAAAGGGCAGATTAGTCCCGTCGAACACCTGATAACCTGTGGTTTCCTTTCTTGAGTAAACTATAAGATTACAATTATTTTCATTTTTGCTATAGAATTGCGATGTGTATTTGATGGATGATCCACTGTCTGCTGTCGATTCACATGTGGGTAAACACTTGTTTGACCAAGTGCTTGGTCCAGACGGTCTTCTGAAAGAAAAAACACGTGTTGTCACCACAAATGCATTTCACTGGTTGCAACAAGCAGATTGGATTCTGGTGCTTAATGAGAACGGTCAGTTAGTTCAATCGGGTACCTATCACGTGAGTTTCATTGTCTTCTATGGGCGAGCAGTTTTGCGTTCCCATTGGGGTAAAACCTATTTTTAATCATTTCTCAAATCAGTAACAATTTTCGACTCGAAATTCTCTGCAATGCTTTGCTTATTTTGGACGAATAGGTAACATTCAACTGATGAAAACTGCCAGGGTATTTTGAAAACCTTGATCAGTTATGATTTACAATATTGGGCACAGCAGTCTCTATTCGCTGCACACGAACAATGAAATTATTTTGCTTGTTGTCCTGATGTAAAAAAGGAATTTCTGCTGTATGATCATCCTGATTTGTTCGATCAGCAAAAGGTATTTACCATTTATTGGCACTTACCTCATGAGTTCATCAAATTCACCGTGAGATCCGATACACCTTTGTGTTGATCCACTCCTAATGATTTATTCACTAAGTCAGTACAAACATTCCAATCGGGTAAACGCCTAGAACAGAGTTATTGTTAACACATATACATATTTCTAATGTCTAGGTGCGGTCCCCATTAAATATGAGAAAAGCTAGCTCA